CGGAGGGAAAGAGCAGACTCAAGAGGACCCATGTTGCCTTTATTTATTTATAAGTTTTCATGTAAGGCAGAACAGAGAGGTCCTATGCATAAGGACCATGTAAACTAGTCTCTGAGACTGGCTCATCTTTGCCAGTGTGCAATGGAGCATGCTCAGTACTGATGTCCTTCCCAGGCTGACCCAGGCTGATCCTTTCTCATCTCAGCTATTGCTCGTTATCATCCAACATGATGCTATCAACCCGGATAAGTCTCAGTAAGTCTAACAATTCATTGCCAGAATTCCCAAGCATCACTCCTGTGTATACATAACTGTGCTTGTTAATTTGACGGACGAAGCAAGAAACCCTGATGCTATTTTGCATCATCATTAAGGATATTCTGAAGTCCTGCAATGTTAGTAAGATGCCTTCCTAAGGATTCTCAATCCCTTTCTCAGGCTTTACTATAATGCTTCACCTTTATATTTTCTCAAAGTCTAGTCCACATATTAGGCATTGATTCTGGCTAAAGCTTTTGCTTTTTTTCTTTTTTGAAATGGTTCTCAGAAATCCTGCATATGGTGTGGCATAGATAAAATATGCATGTCTGAGGAATTAAAACTGTTCACAAGCTATCAGTATAAATGTCTTGCTCATAAATGATGAATTCTAGGGAGAGAATCATGCTGTTATTTCAAGAGGCACTGACTGCTCTGTCTCCCAGTTTGACATGGATCAATCTGAGCTCCTACATATTAAATGTACATTCTTATTATAATAACAAGAAGAATCAGAGATGCTCTCAAACATCAAAATATCAGTTGGAGCTGCCATACAATAAACCAAGGTCCACCTTTACAGATGGTTCAGAATATCAACATTGGGTATAATAGCACTTCTGTCCTCAATAGGACATTTAATGAAAGACTCCAGCTTAGCACACGTGATGATGAATCTAAGTAGGACATAGATTATAACCCAAGAAAAAGACGCTAGCCAGTGAGACTGTATTAAAACATGCAAAGAAATTTACAGCTATGAGTGATGGTGTTGCCACTAAATGCAGACCGTCCCAGGCCAGAGGCCAATGAGAGCCAAGTATGTGTTGTGTTAGGGCTGCTCGCGGTCTCTGCTCGTCAGCCAGGAGTCTGGATGCAGTGTTTCCTCTCCACCTCTGATGAGCAGAAGCCTAGTGCCCTTGTGAGCCCCAAGCTACAGCCTCCCCTGACCATAGCGACTCTGCTTGCCTGGCCCATCTTCCAGGTTCCTTGGGCCTAGTTATCTTCTTTAACTCTTTAGCCCAAGATAATGTTCTCATCCCTTTCTGTAAGACCATTTTCCACTGAGCCGGACTTGCTTCTAGCCTCCCTCATTGGTCTCATTCTGGGCTTCCAGGGCTCACTGGACAGTCCTACCAAATAGAGCCAAATACCTCACCATCCAGACAAGAGGACTTCCTAACTCCTCTCAGATCTGTCCTTTTTATTTTAATTGCCCAAGAGTGTATGCGTACATGAGAGGGAAACAGAAGACAAAACCCCGTTAACAGGGAACGGTCATACTTTAATCCTTTCTTCTCCATTTCTCTATCCTGCCAGGATTTGGGGCATGCACACTCATGTGCCTGACATATTTGACAAGCTACCAGAACCAGGATTCAAATCTAGGTGGGCCATGTGAGTTTTTCCCCCCTTAACCACTGAGCTGAAGGGCTGGTCCTTGGATCCGTTGTTTTGTTTTGTTTCACTGAGTCAGGCCCAGAGTGGATTGAGGTTTTTCACCTCCCTCAACACTTGTTTTGACCTGGCAATGTTTCTCTCCTATCTAGCTGGTTTTCCCAAGGGCCATGACCTTGATCCACCTTAGTCTTTTCTGCCAAGCAAGAGTTTCTATTACAGCATGGCCTAGACTAAATGATAGGCCTAAATCTTGAAATTCATTTCATACCACAAAGATATAAGGTGCCTCTTAAGAATATCAGTGATGTGGGACATTTCAGATATTCTCACAGATGAGATACCTACCAATGTAACCAACATTTTGTTGGTAAATTCAAGGGCATGACAGGCTTGACAAGCAAAATCCATTAAATTCTAAACCAGGAATGTGCATACAAGCCATACTAGGTGGAATTAGTTGCTCTGTATGAGTCTCTAATATTATAATTTATTAATTGAATATATTTAGCACATAGAAATAGATCTTTAAAAAATTTAGTAATAACCATTAAGTGATTCTATTGCATTGAGTGCTAGGGGAATTTGATTCCAGATAGTTTGTTAATACTCAGAAAAGTTATTTACCCCAAGATCCTTAGCTAAAGTTGAAAGACTAGCTAATCATTCTTGGCTTGCTGAAACTTTAATATAAACATACAGAATTGGCTTTTTTACTGGATATTTCCCTTTTAACCTTATGGGGGTATAGAAAATCCCTTGGAAAGGGAAACAATTCACACAGAGATTCAATGGTCCTTTTTTTAATTTAAACTTTTCAAGATTTTTGCCATATGGTGTGTGTGCTCACCAGAAAGAGACAGAGAGAGGAAAAGTGGGTAATCACCCCCCCAGGGGAGAGTGGCCACCCTGTAATCCCTTCTCCTTCATTCTCTTGGGATTTCAGGCATCCACAATTGCAAGCCTGATGTGAGTTTCAAGCCACCTGGTTCAGAATTTGAACCATGGTCGGCCATGTGGGAATCCAATGACTTAAACTACCAGGCCACCTGCTGGCTCCATCAGTGCTCATTTTAATCATCAGAAGGAGAACAACTGTACAAAGTTTCCAACAGATATGCCTGGTTATTATCTGAGCAGTGTGAAGCTTACAAGTAGGAACTGTGCTATTACTTTTTTTTGGTACAAAATTTTTAAAATTTATTATTCTCATACTCTTGTTTATATTACATTGAATCACATATAACTTTACAGTGTATTACATTTCTTTTTCTAGAAGGAATACCATGCATATCAGTCAATACAAAGACATTAAAATCCCCATCATCAAATAGCTTTTCATTATTTTTTCCAGATTATTATTATTATTATTATCCGATTATTCCAATTATTTTTAAACATTCAATCACTATTTATCATTTTGCTTGTAAAAAGATTTTGCCCAATATGAAATACTTCTCAGACCAGTCGAGAATACTATACATGTCATCATCAGCAGGTAATAAACCATTTCTGTGTTCCACTGATGTCATGCCTCTCTATTTGTTCTTTTTTTTCTCTTTTGGAGAGGTTTTTTTTGCTATAAGGTGTGTGCACTCGCCAGAAAGACAGAGAGAGATAGAAAGCAAGAAATCACTCCCCAGGGGGAATGGCCACGCCACGATCCCTTCTCCTCTCGGGATCTTGGGCACGCATGCACTGGCACCCGGTGTGAGTTTAAGCCACCGGGTCCGGGACTCGAACTGCAGTCGACTACATGGCAGTCCAGCAACATAGCCATTACGCCAACTGCTGGTCCCTCTCTATTTGTTCTTTTGCTGTCCTTCTCCATATTCTTCTCCCACCCCATTCCACACTGTCTTCATCATCGCTAACTATTTTCACTGCTTTTATGCCCTCCAATATTTCAGTCTTTCCTATAAAGTGTGGATAGTCGCTATACATTAAGTGAATACATACAATATCTTTCTTTCGTTCCTGGTTTGCTTCACTCAGCAATAGATGTGCTATTACTTTTGTACTATTTAATTTAAATATCAGAAAAGGATCTTTTGTTTGAAGAATTAATAGGCAGCTGAGTGCTAGAGGTGGTCAATTTAAAGCAAGGGTCCTCCAATTTCCAATGCATGAGAATCAGCTGAATAGCCAATATCCAAGCCCCACTTACCACCGGAGTTTTGATTCAGAAGGTTTGTGATGAGACCCCATAATTTGGATTCAAAATGAACACCCTGGTGACTTTGATGCGGGTTCCATGAAACACTTTGAAAAACTGAGGAAAGAACATAGATTTTGAAAGTATAGGAAGACTTCAAATTCTAATTTAATTCCTTGTTTGTAGTCTGAAGCAAGTTATTGTACTGAGTCTCAGTTTAGTCATCTTTAAAGCAAAGATAAAATACACCCATAAGATTATTGTGAATGTAGAATAAAAGTTGTATAGGGAAGACTTGGGGCATAATTTTAGGTGCTCAGTAAAAGTTAGTTTTCAGCCAATGGCTCTAGGTAGGTTATACCAAAAGTCTAAGGACAACATTAGGCTTGAAGGGGAACTTTTAAGTCTACTGTATATAAATAACGTAGCTATGTTATTTACAGTCCAAACTGGGGCTGAAATAACTTATGATACTGAAAGGAGGTGCTATTAGTAATGACGCTGGGAGGTCAGATGGTGGCACGGTGGTAAAACCCAGTCCTCTGAGAGGCAATCTCACATGGAAAGGTCCTCACTTCCAGTCTAGAGACCTCTTAAGGACACTTGCTTGTAATCCAGGTGGGCTGATGGCTGGGGTGAGTGGTGGCATCAGGACTCTGGGGAGGGTTCTCTCTCTCTCTCTCTTTGTCTCTTGCTTATGGAAGAAATAAATAAATAAATAAACTCAAAAGAATTATATTGAGGGAAAAAATTATACTGAGACAGCCGAAGTAAACTGAAGATGATGTAGTCACCTTAATAATTAGATGTAAGACCATATATTTGCATTGCCTAAGCCCAATCTGCTCTGCATGAATTTTATAGTAATTGTACATATTTCTGGAGGTACAATGTAATTTTCAATACATGCATGTAGCACGCAGTGATTAAAGTAGGGTAATCAGTATACCTATCAGATTCATGATTTGTTATTATTTTATGTTAGAAACATTCAAAATTTTCTTTGAGACGTACAATAAAGTGTTATATTCACCCCACTGTATTTTATAACACTAGACAGTGTTCCTTTTTTCCATCTGTAATTCTGTTTTTGTTAGTCAGCATCCCTCTATTCATCTTGCACTGCCCCCTTCCCACCCTTTCCAGACTCTAGTATGGTTCTTCTCTTTACTTCCATGAGGTCATTTTTTCATTTTCCATTTATGAGGGAGAACAAGTGGTGTGTTGCTCTTTCTATGCCGGACTTATTTCACTTACCGTAAAGTCCTCCAGGCTCCCCATTTATCCTCAAATGGTAGGATTCCATCAGACTTCATGATAGTTAAACCAAGAGAGGTGGATATGGTCTTTGTCTTCATAAAAGCTTTAAACTACTCTTGGTGGGCCTGTACGCTCCTTGCAGTCAGAATCTGTCCTGACGCAATGCTTAGTATCAGTGCCATGTACTGGTTATTCAGCTTCTTCACTGTGTTGACATTTGTGCTGGTAATACAGAAACAATGGTGGATAACATGGCTAGGAAACAGGCAGTAGCATCAGACTCAAGAAAAAGCAATGCAGTTGTTTCAGTTGCAAGTTGATCTATAATGAAACAATGCTTTTTCTTTAAAAAATGACTGATAGAAACTACAGTTATTTAGAATTAGGTATTTGAAAGATACTTCCTTCAAAATAAATGAAGCAAACTTGTTACTTTGAGGCAAACGATGGATCCCATTTCTTGACAATAATAAAATTTGACCTTTTAAAGGAACATTAGAATTTTGGAAGGCTTGTATCTGTCCCTGTAAACTTGACAATATCTCAGGATTTGAAAACCTTCTGGGAAGATTGGTGATGATATTAATGAGTATAATTTTGTGATATGAATAATATAATAAAATATGGCAACATTTGGGAGATCGGTATAGGCTCAGCAAAACCTGTTTTCCAAATGATTAATGCATGATGTACAAAATCAGCCATGAGTAAATGATTCATTCAAGGTATAAACCAGACCAATAGATTTTAATGTAACAAAGTAGAAGTTTATTGACGTGGTTTCATATACTATATTGCAACTAATCTTTAACATTTTGCAGCAGATTGAATGCAAATATGAGAACCCAGTTGTCTTCAATGAAAGAGATTTACAAATTTTATAAACATTACCATGTTTTCTCACAAAATCTTTTTATTTTAGAAATTACTGTAATTTCAGTTCTCACAAAATATATTGTTAGTGTTTACATGCAATGGACTTGTAAATAAATTAAGTCATATTTGATTAATTAATACATACTTCAAACATGTATGAGGAATCGTCAAAAGTTCATGGGAAATGTGTATTATGAAGAATAATATATAGAGATGTTTTCGTGTGTATAAAAAGGGAAAAATAAACATATATAGAAATATAATTATATATACATATTATTATATATACATTATTATTATTATTATGGATAAATGGTGGTTACATCTGGAAAAGTGGCCTGAGATTCAGTAGATGGGAGAATAACTTCTTTGTGCAATGTATCCGTTCATATTTCAAAATAATAATTTATAGTGTGTGTTTTTTTTTTTGGAGAGGTTTTCGCTATAGGGCGTGTGCTCTCGCCAGACAGCCAGAGAGAGACAGAAAGCGAGAAATCACCCCCCAGGGGGGATGGTCATGCCGCAATCCCTTCTCCTCCATTCTCCTCTCAGAATCTTGGGCACTCACACATACGCGCCCGGCGTGAGTTCTAAGCCACTGGGTCCAGGATGCGAACCACGGTCGTCTACGTGGGAATCCAGCGACATAGCCATTACGCTAACTGCTGGTTCCCAAAGTTTATAGTGTGTTTATGCTGCTGAAATTATTTAATAATTTGAAAAGTACAAAATATCATACATAGAAGTGATACGTTGTTCAATAGTAGATAAAAATACTCAGTAGGACAGAATTGGTCATAAATCCTAGGAAAATTATCACTGAGTTTTTCGACTTTGGCTCATTAAAAGAAATGTCTTCTTTTAAGTTCATAATTTCCAATTTTAACTTCAACCATAGCAAACAAATACTTTTCCTCCTACTTCCTATCTTTCTGCAAACATTTATTTTTTTTTTTATTAGTGTTAAGTAATTTTACTGGAAGTGCTTATCTTTGTTAAAGTAGAATGGCAGAATTTCCCAGGCAGGAAATGTCTTTTCTTCTTGCTGGATTCAGTTTACTGGAAGAGAGAAAGAAAGGACAGCAGTACATGGAGGGCAGGAAAGATAAGCATCATGGGTGAAAATTATTGAAAAGAACAGGAGAAAAGGATTAAGAGGAGGATGGGTCATGTGACAATGGGAGAGGAGTGAACAAGCGAAAGTGAAATAGGAGAGAATGAAGAACAGCATGGAAAGAACCAGGAGAGGAGACCAAGCCGCTGGGGACGAGTGGGAAGGGGAGGGAAAAAACAGAAATGGAAACAAGGGGAAACTGAGTTGGAAATAAAACAAAGCAGCCTATTGAAGAGAAAGCACTCTCAGCCAGTAACAGAGATTTCTGACTTGGACTCCCAAAGGAAAGGGAATGACAATCTAGACTGAATTTCTGTTCAGTGGAAATTGAGAAAATGAGTTGGCCATGAAACTTGACAAGAGCACAAACAGGGTATTTTGATTTAGATGCAATTCTCTTCTTAGAACTGAACTCTGGGTAGTGTCCAGGTGCAAATGACAAGTCTCCTTAACTTTCTGCCCCTATGTTCCATCTGGCAAACTGAAAACATAGGGAAAGGGACACTGAGCTGTCCCTTCACACTGGATGGCTAAAGGGTAGAAATGGAGAAAGGAACTTCTGTGATCCCTTATCTCATGAGGAGAAAGAGGGGGGGTGCTGAAAGAGTCCTTTATCCACTGGCCACGCAGCTGGAGACTATGTGTCTGTCCCTCCAGCTGAGCATCAGCCCAGCCACTTCTGACCCAGACAGTCCCTGACAAACAGCCTTCCACCCACAGCCCTGGACGGTGGCCAAGGAGCTGTGGGAGGAGGGGAGTGAGCAGAATAGCCTCCCAACTAAGATATTAGGGAAATGGAAATTTTGAGAGAGGGGGATTGGCGTTAGCAAAAGTGAAACTTTCACAATAGAAAAACTGGAGGGAACAAGGGTAGAAAGAGGAGCCCTCTTTCAAACAAACAAGTCAAAAACACAGACAGAGGTATCTTGACTCAGGGTTTGCTTATTATTCATTTTGAGGGGTATTATTTATTCGGTGATGATGAAGAATTTGGGTTCTGTGTCAGCCATTTGACAGGTTTTTTTAATTTTTATTTTGTATAGAGGTTTTTGCTACAGGGCGTGGGCACTTGCCAGAAAGACAGAAAGAGACAGAGAGACAGAAAGCGAGAAATCATTCCCCAGGGGGGATGGCCACACCACAATCCCTTCTCCTCCATTCTCCTCTTGAAATCTTGGGCACACATACACATGCACCCAGCATAGCTTTCCGGAACTCAAACTGTGGTCGAATACATGGGAGTTCAGCAACATAGCCATTACACTAACTGCTGGTCCCCCGTTTGACAGTGTTAACATCACCTGACTATTAGATTCCTTCAGTCTTATCTTTTAAGGCTAAACTCAGGCGGCCAGATCATGTCTGAACCATGGTTTGCCCTTTGCAAGCAGCTAGTCGTGGCATAGAGGAGGGCACCAGCAGGTTAGACCAGGCAGCAACAAAACTAGCTGCATGGAAATAAATTATTGTTGTTATTATTATTATTAGAGAAATTTTTGCTGCGGGGAGCATGCACTCACCAGGGAGACAGAGACAGAAAGCAAGAAGTCACCCCCCAGGGGGAGTGGCCACACAGCAATTCCTTCTCTTCCAATCTCCTCTCAGGATTTTGGGCATGCATACACATGTGTCCAGAGTGACTTTGTAGCCACTAGGTCCGGGACTTGAACCACGGTCAACCATTTGGAGTCCAGTGACATTTTATCTCCTGCCTATATGGTTTCAGGCTATGGAGGGACTATTCATGTAATAGCCCTAATATTGAGCTGGCATTCACAAAGAAACAAGTGTTTTGAGAAAAGTGAGCAAAAGGTTAAAAACTTACAGACAAGTTATCCTGAAACATATTGGGATGAGTCAATCAATATAGTTGACAATGTGTCCCTTGAAGCATTAGAATATGTTTATTGCAAGGTTTTTTTTTATGAAAATCATATTGAACAACATAGTTCTTTCTTTGTGTTCTGAAAAAGTGTATTCTAGTTATATTTTTGTTTTTAGGGCTCAGTGTCAACTATTGGAATTATTTTCCTCTACAATTATGTAGTGATCATTTGGATCCTACTGCAGGATGTAAGTTTGTTTTCCCCTAAGCACAACTCCTAGATTAACTGGATGTTTAAAGGTTTCCTCTTGAGTTTTCTTTTTATACTTTTCTGCCCCTTTCCTTGTTTCTGTGCTATCAGCAACTACTCCCACCCCCTTACTCCTCCTTTTAACTTGTCTCTAATCTGCCAAGAGCTTGGAGGTTGAATAGTTGTATGCCCCCAAATTATGGATAAAATAGATTCTGAATTTTTACACGAACGAAATACCTGAACGTCAGTGTGTCAGATTTCTTGATTTTTGATTTTTAGTGTGTAAACTTTGTGGTATCACTTGAACTCTTAGAGTTGTTTTTGTTTTATTTTATATTCTCATCTATGATCTTATTAACAGAGACTATCAGGTAACGATCAGAAAAAAATGGTGTACATTTAGTGATAGTCAAGGAAATCCTAGCCAATTCTTCAAGCTTTGTTGAATACAAACTTGACAATGAAAATATTTGTGGAAAGGGAAGATAGATTTTCCCAAGTTAAAACATAATTACTGGGTTGTCAGAAAACTCATGATGCATTTTTGCATAGAAAACTATGACACAACTTTTCCAATGACTCAATATTACTCTAAAAATGCCAATTCATGACTATTTTACAAAAGCTAAAAAGAAAGAAGATAGAAAAAAAATCTCAAAAATATTACCAAAGATTCTCACTATTAAGTTTTCTTTTTTTCCAGGAACCACTATTTAAATGACTACCAATTGTCTTTTAAATAAGAATAATGAGAGGGGCCAGCAGATGGCTTATGGTTGTGTTGCTGGACTCCCATGTGGTTAACCGCAGTTGGAGTCCCAGACCCCGTGGCTTGGGACTCAAGCCAGGCACATGTGTGTGTGTGTGTGTGTGTGTGCCCAGGATCCCAAGAGGGGAATGGAGGAGAGAGAATTATGGCATGATCCTCCCTCCTGGGAGTGATTTCAATTACTCTCTGTCTCTGTCTCTCTGGTGAGTGCACACACATATAGCAAAAATCTCTCTTGAAAAAAAAAGGAAGAAGAAGAAGAAGGAGACAGAGGAGTTACAGAGTTGTACTCATTTTGTAAATACAAGTTTGTAATTGTTTTACTTAATACATCATTAATACATTTTGCTTTACTCTACAATCTGTCTTAACAGTTCAATTTTTG